GTCTTTTAAAGACATTTATAGTCTTTTAAAAACTTTTATAGTCTTTTAAAGACTTTTATAGTCTTTTAAAAACTTTTATAGTCTTTTAAATACTTTTATAGTCTTTTAAAAACTTTTATAGTCGTTTAAATGTTTTAATTTATATAAGACTTTTCAATTTTGAAGTTACTGGATTTTTCTTAACTCCTACAGCATTTTGGTTTCATAACACTTGCATTGCATCGATCATCCGTTGCAAACTCACATTTTCTACTATGTTCGAAAGTAAAATTCAGAAATTGAAAATTACTATTGTTTTACTCCTACGAACTTCTTAACAAGGACCACTTAGTAACTCTTGTAAGTGTACAAGAATGTTCGAATCTTTTGTAGCAATCTAGTTCTTGTCGAGCCTACAGCACGCTCCAAACACGCGAACGGGAGGCTAACTGTTAATTAATAGGTACATTTATAGTACAGTTGTTCGTTCCATATATTACTTTTTCCTTGAGACATTCTCCGCCTAGTATAAAGAACTCACAGAACAATCCTCTCGGCTCCGCATAGCGAAAAGTTTCGCAGGACTAAACGAACGTTTGAAAATTCATTAACAAGCTAATCAAATTTTCTCTTCGTTTCTACCATATGAAATCTAACACATCATCGTCCGAACGACTAACAGTCGTATAAAATACATACATAAAATATAAAACGCGACCATAAAATTCATTCGCGTGTCGCGAATCTAAATAAAATCTGTTTGCACGAGGCAACGTATCTTATAATTTGATTTAACTCTCCGATGTTTTATAGGTTATATCAATTTATGCAAAGTGATCCAAAGAGTTTAAAATGTGCCGACTACACGCAAAAGTTCTCGCAAGAGCAGCCAGGACCTTACTGCGTTAATTTTGAAAAATCGATGCACGGACAAATGCGCGCAGTGATTTTTAGTGTTCGATCGTTCGAAGGGGCGGAGTCTGGACCCGGCCAGTCCCATTTCTGTTTAATCCAGATGAACGCCCCCGCGGCAGCCCGTCTCGCGACTATTCCGCTGTTTAGCATAATTCGCGGCGACCGGCTCGTTTAGCAATGCAGATCCGGAGGGTGTCCGCGGAGTCCCCGCTCGTGCGAGGATCAATTGCAATTTATCAGTGGACTGTGAACCTTTATGGCAATCTCGCGAAATGACTGTGCAATTTGAAATTTTGCACACGTGCCGCCGCTTGGTTCAGCGAGAGCACAATGGGAATTCATTAGCGCCTCGCGGTCGGACCCCGAGCCGAACATCTGTTTTTCACTCTATGCATTATTTCGCGGGCGAAATTCGCGCACGCGAACCGAATCCCGACGAGGCCCGACGGCGTTAATTAATCGGGGCGGCGGCTCCTTTGTCGAATATCGAACAGCAGGCCTGCTCGAGCAGGCCCTCCCGCCGGGATTTTCGTGGCGCTTCCGGCCCGAGAAGCTCCACTTTCTTGCGCGGTCAGTGACGTTCTCCTCGACCGGGAGCACAATAGAGCGCGTCCATTATGGGGACAAGCGGAGGGACCACTTAATGGCACACTAACACCGAGTGCTGCCACTCAGTCGGCGGAGTTTCTCGTTGTACTTGATGCAGCAAGTACAAGAATTTCTAATCGCTTGGTTTCTCCTCGATCGCCGGCGAACTTCCTGAAAAATCGCGAACGCGCGGCCGTTCGTTATTGGAACGTCGCTTCGACGCCCGAGGAGTCTTCTGAATTATTCGCGGCGAGGATTCTTCGGTTCAGCGAAATTTAGCGGTCCGGGCCTTGGAGCAGGAAAATAAACGCGCGAAATACGGAAGAATCTTTCATTCTTTCGAATAGCAGGCACTGCCGCAGCTATTGTTTTATGCCTGCTAGTCAGTCGATACTCGTTAACGCTAGATTTACGGAGCACAAAAAACCGCTGTTTTATATTAGTTTATGAAAGTAACAATAAGACATTATTTTAAGACATTATTATTATAAGACATTATTCTGAATTTTAACCAGTGTTCTTGTAGCATTTGCCGTAAGTAACATATAAATTGCATAGGCAAATAACTCATAAACGATATGAATAATCGTAAATTAAAGAATTAGTGACCCGCCATTTTGACGGATTCCGTAAATCTAGTGTTAACGAGTCGTTATCGGACCGCGGATTTTTATGCGAAACAAACACTGTCTGCGTTAAATTGAAAAATACAGGAGCCACATAGACCCGTTGCTCTTTCGTTAATTATTTTCGTAAGCTGCAAACGATACGATAGCATTTTAACATTTTAAATGCACAAAATCCGCGATCTTTGTCATTATTATTCAGTCGGTGNAATTAGTGACCCGCCATTTTGACGGATTCCGTAAATCTAGTGTTAACGAGTCGTTATCGGACCGCGGATTTTTATGCGAAACAAACACTGTCTGCGTTAAATTGAAAAATACAGGAGCCACATAGACCCGTTGCTCTTTCGTTAATTATTTTCGTAAGCTGCAAACGATACGATAGCATTTTAACATTTTAAATGCACAAAATCCGCGATCTTTGTCATTATTATTCAGTCGGTGCATTTTTACCTCGGTTCCGCAGGAATTCGGGCCTCCGCTTGCTCATCTTTCCACGAAAACGGGGAACATTATTTTTCTCCTAAAAGACGATCAAACATTTCTCGGTAGAGACGCGAACTTGTAAACTGTCGCATTCGTTTATCGCGAATCGCGGATTCCGTGCGCGGCTCTTTTTCTCGACGAGAATTCGGCGAAATAGTAACAGACGACCGTGCTTGGTCACGCGAAAAATCAAAGTCTGGAATAGATGCGTCGTCTCAGGACTTTTCTCGCAACGAAAGTCTTTCACTGGGAGCAAATTCGGATCTGGATAATTCCATTTCGGTTTTCGATGGTGCAGGAATAGCCCGCTGCAACAGAAAACGTTCTGCACGCGGTTGAAACTGTTGATTTTCCTTCGCATCCGGTTCACGGTTCCGCGGTCGACCGACGTCGATCCCGATCGTCGAACTGCGTGACGAAATTCTTCTGACTTACCGATTTCTAGGAACTCTTCGGCCGATGTGCAAACCCCATCGCCGAACTCTCCTCGAACGCACGCGTCGCTGCACGAAAACTGAAACTGCGGTTCGCAGAATTCTGCGAACGTCGCAAATCATCCTTTTTAGCATTTTTCTCAAATTCCATGCTCTCAGCATCTCTTCGGTGGGTTTGAAAAAATTGACTGCACATAACGCACAGGTTCTTTTCCCCGAGAAGATTAACATCTCGTTACGGTGTCTTCGTTCAGAATTAGTAGACTGCGGATTTTACGCGTTTACGGGAATAATTAATAAATGAAATTTAAAACAGCGGAACAATTTTAGAAATTTAACGTTGTCTACGCATTATATTCAACTCGCTGAAACGATTACGGTCGGAACGAAATTTCTATGGTGCTTGTGTTCGCTGAAATCGCTGCGGCAAATTTTTGTTTTGCATAAAGACCCGCTGTCTAGTAATTAGTTTTGTGCACAGCGTTGAAGTTCGCGTGACTGGTCGCATTAGCCGGACAATGTATTCGGACGATTCGAATGCGTAGAATCTTCACGATCCAGTTATCGCCGTGAATGAGTCTGTTGCCGTTGTGTCTACGATAATTGTTCAATTATGCAAACGACGAGGTGTTCTCGATGGAACCGCGTCTGTTTTCCCACGTTGTTTCGCACCGCGACCACAAACGTTGCCAGTCGACGGGATTGCGTGCCAAAGAAAATCTGTGCTACTGTTAGACGGACGGATTTTCTATTCCAAAGGCGGATTGTTATACAGCACGCTTTCTTCGTAACGCCGTCGAACGTGCACGCACGTTGTAAAACAGTTTCGCTTTCAGCCGTTGTCGTGAACCAACGATCCCGCTGTCTCAACCCTTTTGCACCCGAATGGCGGCTCTGAGGCACCGATCAGACTCGCCATGCTGTAATTTCAAACAATGTTTACAGTACCGAAGTAGCACCCAACTGCAGAGTTAGGTATTATTCGGATGAAAAAATTTATTCGAATTTTATTCGAGAAATATTTCGAATAAATTCTTCGAATGAAATTGCATTCGTGTAATATTTTCAATAAATTCATCGAATAAAATTTAATTCGAATAATATTTCGACATGAAATTTGATTCGAAAAATATTTCGAATAAATTCCTCGAATGAAATAGTATTCGTATAGTGTTTTGAATAAATTCATCGAATAGAATTTGATTCGAATAATATTTCAAATAAATTCTTTGAATAATATTTCGAATAATATTTTATTGGGATAATATTTCAAATAAATTCTTCCAGTGATATTTCAAATAAATGGTTTGAATAATATTTCGAATAAAATTTGATTCTGGTAATATTTCGATTAAAAGTTGATTTGAGAAATATTTCGAATAACATTTGATTCGAGAAGTATTTCGAATAAAATTTTATTCGAACAATGTTCAACTCTGATTAACGAAAATAAAGGTTTCACAGATCGTGGCTGAATATTGTCATTGTTTTTAGATCGTTTCCCTAGATTATTTTAATACTTACACACTTATCGCTGAAAGATGTAGCCGGCGTTGCGTCTGTAAATACGTCGCCGACGTTACCTCTGTAAAATGTTGTCGTCGTTTCCAATGAAAAATGTTGTTGTTGTTCCCAATGAAAAAAATGATTCGAAAGGACACAGGGATGATGTTCGTCGACGAACGAAGCACCGAGGAATGCGCAAGCATTTTTCTCGTCGAACATTTAAATATCAGCATCCGCGAACTGTTACATCCTTCCCAGGAATTCCGTAGTGACCCTGAATATAAACAAGGATAATTACTTAAAGAAGTCGGCCATCAATTCCGGTAGGAATTTACATTCGTATAGCGACTCACGGTGTCTGGTAAAAATGTCGAGGACGTTTCCGATCCTCCTGTAAATCCTTCGCGCGATTCTGCCGACTTTCGGCCCTCGTCGCAGCGACGGGCAACGATCGCTCCGCGCGTGGTCTGCGGAACATTTGCATTGTAAATCCCGGCTGGATAATTTACTTACACGAAACCCGTCGAAAAAATGACCAAAAAAAAAGTTATCGCGCGCGGAAACGTCACGGCACGAACGTGGAATGGAATTGTATCTTTATCGCCGAGATGAGCATTGTCCCGCCTGTCACGGAAAAACCAACGACTGTGACACACAGAAAGGAAAAAATATCAGCGATGCCCGAGGAGAGACGATGACACGCGCGAATCGTGTTTCCGTGTTGTTAAAAACCGGTTTACAGTCGATGATTCCCTGTGAAAAATTAGAGCAACAAGCTCGTAAATCGATTACGATGCAATTAAGATTCTATTAAATCGAGCGATTATCTTGTCCCGACCTTTTTGTCGCTGGATTCTCGTGTCATCCAGAATCTCCGATTTAAATACAATACGACGCGATCGGTATCGTCCATCGCTATTCTTCAGTCGCTCGAAACCAGCGAACATAATTGCCGCTCGGAAGTTCAAGACCGGAGTTCGCACGGCAGCTTTATGCAAAATGTTAATCAGTTACAGAGACAGTTAAAGGCAACAAGATTTACGAACATAATGAATCCGGCCGCCATTTTAGAACTAGTCGAGTGACATTGTGCAGTCCTTGCAAGAAGGCTGTTTCGTTATTGCTATTAACGCGTCGCGAACTAGACGCGTTACCATCGACAGCCTGCTAAGCTTCTGCACGAAATGCAGTAATGTCTCTCTAATTGACGCTCAGATTGACGACAAAAATGGACAATTTCGGAAGAGAAGATACAATTATCCTTTTATAGTTACGAATTGTTAACAACTATAAAAACCAGTTGCAAGGCTCGAATAATCGTATCTCCTCTTCCCAAATTGTCNAATCGTGTTTCCGTGTTGTTAAAAACCGGTTTACAGTCGATGATTCCCTGTGAAAAATTAGAGCAACAAGCTCGTAAATCGATTACGATGCAATTAAGATTCTATTAAATCGAGCGATTATCTTGTCCCGACCTTTTTGTCGCTGGATTCTCGTGTCATCCAGAATCTCCGATTTAAATACAATACGACGCGATCGGTATCGTCCATCGCTATTCTTCAGTCGCTCGAAACCAGCGAACATAATTGCCGCTCGGAAGTTCAAGACCGGAGTTCGCACGGCAGCTTTATGCAAAATGTTAATCAGTTACAGAGACAGTTAAAGGCAACAAGATTTACGAACATAATGAATCCGGCCGCCATTTTAGAACTAGTCGAGTGACATTGTGCAGTCCTTGCAAGAAGGCTGTTTCGTTATTGCTATTAACGCGTCGCGAACTAGACGCGTTACCATCGACAGCCTGCTAAGCTTCTGCACGAAATGCAGTAATGTCTCTCTAATTGACGCTCAGATTGACGACAAAAATGGACAATTTCGGAAGAGAAGATACAATTATCCTTTTATAGTTACGAATTGTTAACAACTATAAAAACCAGTTGCAAGGCTCGAATAATCGTATCTCCTCTTCCCAAATTGTCCATTTTTGTGCACAATCTGAGCGTCAGTTAGGGAGACATTATTGTGCTTAGACCGTTTGCAGACGGTGTCCTAATCTCACAACGATTTCTCCAAACGATTTTGTTCGAGAAATATTTCAAACCAATCCTCCGAATAAAATTTCACTCGAACGATGCATCAAACAAATCCTTCGAATACAATTTTACTCGAGCAATATTTACGTATTAAATCACGCAACGATGCGTGAAAAAAGGACGAGCAACCTTCGTAGTTAGAAGATGAATTAGCACTCGGCATCTCGCGAAATTTGAATACATATTACCGGGGAGCTTCCGCACGCAGAAGAACTGCAAATCATTGTTTTCCTAGAACTCGGAGGCACGTCGTGCGTTCGTCCGGACAGCGATGGCGTTAATAAAAGAGAACAATATCATTAACCAGCATGGTCGTCTGTCAGAAATGTTGCGCAGTCACTGGACACACGTAGAGACCGTTCGCCTTCGGTTTCGCGAGGACGAGAGTCTGTCTCCTCGCGGCTTTACCGCGGGTAATGACGCTCGATCTCGGCACTTTCGTACGGCGCCGCGTTCGATAAGTCGTTTTATTTGCCGGCTAACGTGTAATCCGGCGAAGCCGGAGTAGAGAAAAACCACTTCCGCGGCGTCGAGGAACCAGAGAACCATAAAGAAACGGTGTTCGACTTTACAGCGTGACAATCGCGCACGAGGATCACGGTGACGTATTCCAAGCGGCGAGAACCGGAGGAAACGATGCATCGTCTCTGAGAAGGGAACGAGATCTCGATCGATTTCCGGCTTTCATCCACCTCCAGAGGGACAGCAGACAGAGAGAGACGGCGTGATGGAGATCGAGACCGACCCGAAGCACAGGGAGAGGATCAAGAGGATGTTCAGCTGGAGCGACGCGCTCACCAGGTGAGTGAAGTTTTCTCCCGCGCGCTTCTGCTTCACTTTCGTCGAGAGAAACCGGCCGGATCCCGTGCATTTATGCCGCTGTAATGACCCAGCGATCTTACAGCGGACCTTGGCGGGCTAAAATGCCTCTAGCCAGACCACCAAGTGCACCTAGATTGCCTCCTTCGCGGTAGATCGCATGCGGCAGCAATCGTTGGGCAACTCGTTCCATTTGACGACTGAAAAAATAAACGAAACAGCTGGAGTAAGGGCTCAATCACTGTTATTTTCGTATAGTGCTATTTTCGGTACCGTTACTTTCGTTGATTTTTGATGATGATCACAGTGATACGACAAAGATTTATATATAACAAAATTTTAATGTAATGTTTGATTAGTAGAATAAAGCCAGGCGTTTAATAAAATTGATATACTTTAATAGTTTCGTTTAAGTTGGATAAGTTAGCTGAAAGTCAATTTAGTGGAAATGTATTCAAAAATGTATGAGAAACAAATTAGAAATATTTGGGATTTGTTGTTATTTCGATCAGAATAACTGGCACAAGATTATTTTTATTTTTCGTTAATTTCGTACATCAAATTTAAACCTTTAACGTACCGAAAATATTTTATTTATCCAATTGTTTAACTGGAGAACTGAATAATATGATTTAATTTTATTTTGATCATAATTATAATTATACTTTTATTATAATTATATTTTAATTATATAAAATTTCAGCAGAAAATATATCGATGAACAAAAAATTACCCTAAACGTGTCGGTAACTAGGCTTCTTATCCCAGGCGGCATTTCTGCCGATGCGGAATACTTTTTCAGAGAGAAATTTGCTCGAGCACTTTCGAGCAAACGTTTTTAGAAGTTTTAGTTATACCAAATTTTTATAATAGACGACAATCTTCCAGCGAGAAGACTATTGGTTTTATAGAAATCAGCCTCGGCAAATATACGGATTTTACAATGTTCCTGAAATATTTTTGGAGATCTAAAGTACATGGTTAAATTCAAATTCCACTGAGCAAATATGAACAGTCGATAGAACCGTTGAAAATCCTGGAAACCATGGTCAAATAAAAAAGTGAAAGCACGATCGAGGAACGAGAGATACACACGGTATACCAAATTGTCCGAGCGATTTGCCGCTGTAATTTGTTCCAGGATTAGTAGAGCAAACAAGGATGTTAATACATTCGCTGTATAAATATAAATCAGGAAAACTTAATTTTCAATTTTTATACGCCAGCTCTAACTGGATGGATATTAATTAAACGATTACTATAATTAAACTTTCAACGATCTTTGCAAATGTATTATTAGAAAGTACTGACACGTGAGCTAGAGCAAGGAAGATTGTTTCCTCTTTTCATGTTTAATACTAAATTTACGTAACTCGTTAAAATGATTGGTCACTAATTTTTTGATTTACGATTATTCATGTCGAAACGATAAATTTATGAGTTGTTTATTCAATTTATATGTTACTTACGTCAAATGTTACAATGACGCTTCTTAAAAATTAGAATAAATGTTTTATTATATAATGTAATATAAATGTCTTATAAACTAATATAAAACAGCTATCTTTTTGTGCTCCGTAAATCTAGCGTTAAAATCCTATGCTTTGGCGAAGGGCCACCAGAGGGCTTTGCTATAACAGTTGTCTAATACAAAGACTTTTCTTCGCTAAAATCGCTCGATTAAAAATACTTTGTTGAAATAGCTAAATATTTCAATCTAATATATATTATTATAAATATATTTATATTTATATAATATATATGTTTTTATATAATATAATATAATATATATTTATATAATAATATATATTATATATTATTATGAATAAAATTATTATTAATATATATTATTAAATCGTTGACTGTGCGAGCAAAGTAGATTAATTTTCGGATACATTTCTCCCACGAATTAATTTAATATTTCGAACGACTCCCGATCCAGACTCTATAAATCCGAAAGATTCTATCAAACTCTCTCGGGAACTTGAACATTTATTCCAAGAATCTCTATCAGCTTGCAACTGACTCGAGTGATCCCCGGCAATCATATTTTACTTATTGTCCCACGGATGCTCGTGCAAGATCGAAGGAACTCACCGTTTCCGCGCGATCGAACCCTGACCGAGCGCTGCTCGGCCAATCGCATTTCGCGAGCTACCATCTTCCGGTTAACGACGAGAAAGGCAAACGAGCAGAATTTGTCCTGGGAATCGTGGCTCGTTACGAGCTGCACGCGGGATTTCCTCGCGGTATCGCGGGCGACGCAACGGCGGGGAACATTAGGAAACGGTATGCAAATCAGAAAAGCGGCCGCGCGCCGTTTCCTCGTTACCGGGCCGATCGTAATTTGAGCGTCATAAAGAGGCCCGCGTGTGTTTTGCGCGGCGGCCAGACAGATTTTGTAATCTGCCGGTGGTACGTGACCGGCACGAATTCACCCCGAATACATATCACCGTTTTATGGTAAACCGCATTCCGGTTCCCGACCGGTCGGACCGCCTTCGAGCTCTCGATGCTCCCGTTAGCGATTCCCTTTCTTCCGCGAGAACCTCGGTGTCGTCGCCGATTTATCTCGACCGGGTGCTGTCTATTCGCGAACATCGGTCCGGCCAATTGGCTGCCGGTTTCTTTCGGATTCTCTCGGCGAATCCGATGAAGCAGATCGAAGCTGCGGGTGTTCTTGACAGTGGACCGTTGACGTTTGCGCAGGGTGACACTTGTAAAAGTCGCTTCCTGTTCGGTGATCGATTGAACGCTCGCGTAGCTACAGTAAATTTTCCCTAATTTTTGTTCAGTTTGTAGACAAAAATGGAGAATTTGAGAAGGAGCCTTGCACCTCGTTTTTATAATTGTTGTTTTATAAGTGAGCCGTGAGGCTCGAATGATCGTATCTTCTTTTCCCATATTGTCCATTTTTGCTCGCAAAAGCTCAGGGAAAATTGGGGAGAATTTACTGCATCAAGTCATTAAGAATTTTAATCGATTTTAATCGATAGAAAGAGAAACGAGGAGTCTATTGAACATCTCACAATGGGTTGTTTTCCCGATTTCGCTTTCGCTTTTTTCGGGCAAAATTATTTTTCTCACTTAACGTGTCTGAAACGCACCTACTAGCTTATTTATCGTATTTTAACGTAGAAAATATAATTATATACGAATCAAAATAATTGTGAACAAATAAAAATAATTGTGGACGAATAAAGATAATTATGAACGAATGAAAATTACTAATAAAATATTCGAAGTATCATTTGTATTATTTAATGGATTCGAAACGTGCCTATTTGTTTGCGCTTATTTTTTAACATAGTGGGAATAATTTTGAACATTAAAAAACAATTATCATTGTTGTTTGCATCGAAAGTTGTGTAACTATCAAAAAGCACGTAAAACAAACTGAGAACAATCAAAAACAAGTTAAAGGTCGTGAAAAACTACGTGGGGGACTATCAGACGGTATTAAAAAAGCATTAAAAACTATTAGAAAGCGGATCGACGTTGCGTGAGTTACATAAATATAAACATTGATACTGGTACACCGTTGTCCACGTGTACCATAACCAACATTTTTCATCGTACCGCAAGATTTAAAAAATCGTATTCTCGCCAGTTTTTTTGGAGCTTAATTGCTACTCAGCTCTGCGTCGTTAGGTCTATCCGATTTAATTGGTTCAGTTGTAGACCCAAGCGTTTTTTATTTCGATAGCCGCTCGTGTAATCTGTAATAGTGGATAAAATAAGTAATTGGACAGTTATGGTTCTCATGAAGGATATCGCTTAACCACGACCATTTCTTGCGAAGTCCATAATAATAGATGTATTAGAAGTTGATTGGTAGGTACTCGAATTAAATATTTACAGCTTTAGAATTTCACGTTATTGCATTCTGATGCACTCCGAGGCTGCATAAAATTCACCGTCCAGTTATTACGTTTTATTGTATACTCCGATGTGCGAAAGTGTATAATTTAATGACAGCACACACACACACACACGCACACACACACACACACACACACACACACACACACACACACACACACGTGATAGAATTTGCAATAATCGAGAGAATAATAATCGAGCGTGCAAAGGTTGCTCCATGCGTAACCCTGAATCTCGGCGAAGGATCTCGCAAGGAAAAGGGTGGGCCAGTATTCGCCGATGGGAAACTCGGGGAAAAGTTGGCCAACGAACGCGCAAACGAATTTTGCAAGAGCCGTCGGGGTTATTGGTACGCGTCGACATCGTGGCTCGCAATCGCGCGTGAAAGTGGCCGGCGAGCGTGTGCGTCGAAACGACGACGCGACGAATAGACTCGTCCTCGTGGCCCGATCGGTTTATCACTGCACACGGTGAAAGGGCAGCCATAGCTTAAACCCGCGAAGGATCGCGCGCGCATCCACGATCGATCGATCTCTCCACCATCGGGAAGAGCCTTTCTCGGCTTGAACTCCCGTGAACGCAACTTTCCATGGATTTATGGGACTCGCTGCGCTTTTCGGAGACTTCGATGCCTTGCTACAATCATCGGGCTACTGCTTCTTTTTCAGATTTGTTTCAATTATTTGTCACCCCCATTTGTCTGCAGAGCAGACAATGCGAGAGAATGAATAGTCGGAGTTTTGATAATTCAATTAAATTGTAGGTCAATTCGATTATATTTCGATTCAGTTGCATAGTAATTCAACGTTGTAACTCAATTATGTAATTCGAGCCTTTTAGTCAATTCGATTGCTAATTACTTGAATCGCGAGCGTAATTCAAATACAATGCGATTCGAATACAGTGCAGTTGAAATACAGTGTAATTCAAATACAATGCGATTTAAATACAATGCAATTTAAATACAATGCAATCGAAATTCAATTCGCCAAATCGTGAAACATGACAAGCCCAGAATTTCGCTCTTCGTCGTATTTTCTTCCCTCGTCGCCTATTAATTTATTATCTTTGAATTCGTAATTTTAATTCAGTTGCATCGTAATTCGTAACGTAATTCATTTGTTTAACATTTTGTGAATGTACTGTAATTGCAATTACGCGCAGGATGAAGCGTTGAAAACAATGTAATAGAGTCTTGTACTAAAAAATAATTTACACTCGTTGATTCTTTATGGTATCGCGAGCAGTATGAATGAGGAGAGGGAGGGGGTTGAGAACGTATTTCAACCCCTGTGTAAATGATTTATTTTTGA